ATAAAATAAATAAATAAACTACTACTCACTACTTGTACTACTATTCCTACTTTGTGGTTTCTCCCTTATCGTGGGTCTTCAGGGTACGGATTGCCTGCGATAAACAAGGGACTACTGTATTGTGTTAAAACTTGGTGTAAAACTAGCTCAACATTGTCCTCAACATATACTTTGAGCACAACACATTGCACAATATGTTTGGTTTAAACCTTGGCAATATTCTTTGTCTGTTAGCAAAATATATCATAATCCACTGGACAGATTTAAATAATTATCTCAGAACGTAATTATTAGCTGTGCTTCTAAAACTTTTAAATCAACCCCATTTAAGATGGCTGCCATAGCTGATTCATCTAAGCGAGCACAAACACAACTATCGGTATCTCTCTGTGAATTTTACTGAAACTGAACTAAAATCTGACATGGCAGTAGCTGACAGTCATTCACAACACACACTCCAAGTGCTAACACACCATGCAAGATACTGCAGTATTTCATGAGATTGCACATGATTTCCATTTCGAGGTTTAATCCAAGCAGCTATGTTTCCGTCATTTCTCAGCACACAATGATTTTGGTAGCAGGAGATATGGGCCTTTAATTTGTATTTGCTTTGTTTTATTATCACTGATTATAACAGGTAATTATCTAGTCAATATTGCTATCGCATGATATTTTCAGTTTGACATACAGTTGTTTTCCTGGGTTGAGAGAGCCTCGGTCAATCTCTCTGTCAAACTCTGTTCTGATGTCCTCCAGCCTGCCATCATCTCCAAAAGCCCCCCACTCGGTGTTCACGCACATCCTGCCCTCGTCCCCCTCCACCAGGTCAATGTGACGCAGTTCCTCCATGTAGCAGGCGTTGGTGCCAGTACCTGCAGTGACAAAAATTAAGCAACAGTTTGATCTACTTTCCACAAAACCAGCTACATCTTACACCGGCTAACGCTAAATTCACTTCTGAACCTAATGTTTTAACGAGTGCTGTACCGATGATGATGCCAACTTCACAGCGCTGGTCATCGAAGCCGCACGTCATCATGGTTCCCACGGTATCGTTCACCACCGCCATGATGTCAGCTTCGTACTCCTAAAACAATTAGACGTCAGGGATTATTTTACAGTTTATTTCATGTAATTTGATCCATTCTGAAGGCAAAACCAAGAAATGAGACTCACTGCTCTTTTCTTAATAGCTTTGTTGAGCAGCTGGACAACATCCATCCCTTCAACCCCACTGGCTTTAAAACGTTTTGTCCACGTTATCAGATAGCCCTGGAGACAACACCGTGTCAAAGAGAATCATTGATTTTTTTTTACTTTTCATCAGGTGGCAGGATAAAAAACTCCAACACGAAGATGAATGTGTAGTTCACCTCATTTAATTTGGTCTGCTGGCAGGGGAAGGAAAAGGTAAAACCAACAGGGAGTCTCTTTTCTTTGATGTTGTGTTTTTCCATAAAATCACCGAGACACTCCGCCACATGATCAAACAGCTGGAAAAGAAGAGAGAGAGACAATGAAGTCAATTCAAGAAGAAACAACCAGACACTGTGCGTCTGCGTTTCTCTGCAAACCCACTTCTGTTCCGGTGCCATGAATGATGTCGTCCGGCGTGTCATAGACCTCACTCTCCATCTGAACGGTCTGCTTCTTCTCGTGGCTCACTTTGACACGAAGGATTCTGAAGTTACTGCCTCCTAAATCCAACGCAATGAAGTCTCCTTTCTCTGTTGAAGCAGAAAAATAGGATGATAGAGCAAAAAAGAAAAGAGAACAAGCTGTACGCCGACGTCCCCCGTCAATGATGGATTTGAGTGTTGACACTGATGAGTGTTTTCTGAACTAGACTTGAACAGGTAATGTAAGTGAGCCTAAAAGTTTTTGGCAATATTTTCAAATGGGTAGGAGTTAAATTGTCTATAATAACAGATGTAGGTTTTATTTCTTGTCCGAGGCGTCGTAGAGTGATGGATTCTGGTGAGCAAAAGAAGCAATTTTACCCACAACCAGGTACAATGGCTGAGCCAGGGGGTGGCCAATGGTGGCCTTGGCCACCATAGATTAATCAATAATGGCCTACCAATCTTCAGGCATCCCAATCATTTGAGGAAATTATACTGTTAAGCAATATAAGATCTAGAAAGCATAGTTTCCTCAAATGAAATGGGTGGACTGTTTACACATACTGTATATATGGTGGTGGCCATCTTGGCTTTTGACGTGGCAACCTAATTTTAAATGGGACCTTTCTTATATCTATATACTGACTTTAAAAAAGGCTTAAAGACTTTTCTTTTTAAGCAAGCCTATTCTGCCTCCACATGATTGTATCATTGATTTTAGTTGATTTTATCATTGATTTTAGTTGATTTTATCATTGATTTTAGTTGATTTTATCACAGATTTATTATTATTATTATTATATGCAGCCACACACCAAAATGGAAGTCAATATCTTGTCTTATTTTTCAAGTTATCACACTCAGGAGACAAAAAGGAGAATATTATCAGTGACATCAAAGCTCATGCTCAATAATCCAGGTAATAACCCAACAATAGATAAAGGGTGATAGAGGTCGAAACGTCTTTCCACAAAAAATAAACTTTCCAGATGACTTGACTGAGCATTATTGGATAATTCAGCAATGTTCAGTCAGGTCATCTGAACGGTTTCTTTTTTTGCTGAGACGTTTCGTCCTTCATCCAAAGGACTTCATCAGTCCAAGGAGCCACAAACAAACTGAGTCCCACAAGCAGCACCCAGAAATCTTCACCAGCAAACTTTATTTTGTCCACTATGGGAGTATGCTGCTTGTGGAACTCAGTTTTGTGGCTCCTCAGACTGATGAAGTCCTTTGGATGAAGGACGAAACATCTCAGAAAAAAAGGAAACTGTCCTGATTATCAGTAACATTTTACTAACTTTAAGGAGCCAATTAGGTGCAGTTAACTGTTACTGAATGAGAACCGAAATCCCAACATGTGTTTTATCAAAATGTTTATCTTACACCATAATTTTCATTACAATTAATCTCACACAATATGAGAATAAATTGAAATCTGCAAATGTAAAACTGATCCAGACAACTTTTAACAAGTCTTGTCACTGAACCTAAAGCCTCAACTATTACCTTTATTAAAAACACCAACAGTACGACACATTCCTGTGTTTCTTCATGTAGGGGCATGCTGATGCTCAACCCTGCAGGTTTGCTTCATGCTGCTCTGTCCTGCTGCACCTTACTGTACTGTATACTGACTAGTTAATGATTAACACAAGCATAAGCTTTATGAAGGCTTTATTTCACCTGGTGGAAACCTTATCAGAGCTGATTATTTCTCCCTTTTCCTCCTTTACTTCAATTAACGATATGATCTCTTTCTAAAACAGTGTCTATGTCAGTACAAAAGCGGAAGCAAAGTTAAACAAACATAAATAACAATTAAATGGCATTTACATAGAGGTTAAGAGTAATTAGATTACCAGTATAAGTTAGTTGGTTTCCACTCATGTTATATGTTCTAGAATTGCGCCGCTCAAGGTGGCTGCATGTTGGAGCAGCTCTGTTACTTTCATTCTGAGATTTTGCTTTTGGAAACTTTAATTCCTCTTTTTTTGGATGTAAATCACATTTTTTGGATGACTGTTTCCTCTGGTATCAGATGCTGTGCAGCTGGAAGGATTTGTACTGAAACTTTTTTAGTTTTGGACATTTGTTATGATGCGTAACAATGGCAACAAGGCAGTTTTCTACAGCCAACAGCAGCTGACATCTCAAAAGCTCAAATAATACCTCAACTACAGCCCCAAATCTCAAATGAGTTGAAAGGATGTTCTGTGGACGCATTCTCATCAACCTGCCAGCTGTGCTCGAGTGCCTGACCACTGAGATCCTGGAACTAGCAGGAAACACGGCTCATGACAGCGGAAGGACAGGATCGTCCCTCAGTACCTACAGTTGGCTGTCCGCAGCAACGAGGAGCTCGGCAGACTGCTGGGAGGAGTGGCCATCGCTCTGGGAGGAGTTCTACCTGGCATTCGGGCGGTCCTACAGCCATGGGGAAACGAGAGGCCAGCCGAGTCTGGGTGGACAGATCGGACAGTATCTGCAGCCAGTTTCTTAGGATCCACTGTGGGATGGACCTTTACAAGAAATCCATCCTGCCTACAGCCATCAGCATCTACAACATCTCTTAATGAAATAAGAATAACGAGTTACAACAACAAATAATTTCCCTTTGGGATTAATAAAGTATTTTTGAATTGAATTTGAATTGAATTGAAAAATGTTATAAATTAATTATACTTCATGTGGTTGGTTTCAGGCTTCTTTGCATCTAATTCTAATGAAGCAACGTGTCATTTTTCCACTTCAGTACAAGCCATGGAGTTCATTCAAAACAATAACTTTGAGTACTTTTGTGAAGGTTGCAAACGTGTGTAAACACTAAAACAAACCGAGATTTGCTTCATGAAAGAGAACAGATTAATATTAAAGTCTGTAAGCAAACAAGGCAGATTAGTTGAAAGCATAATGTATAACACAATATTGAAATAAGTTAAGTCAAAACTCAGTGTTCTGTCATTGCCTTTAAATGATAAATAGAAGCACAGTGAGAAAATGTTTATGTGACATTACCTAAAAAAAGTACAGAAATGCAGTAAACGTGACTGCAGTTGTGTTAAAATTGTCCCAGAGCAACAACAGCCTGCATGCATGAGTTTAGAGGCCTCTCACTTCAGGAACTTTGGAATATTTTTCTGTGTACAGTGCTTTATAAATATGTTATGGCTTTCCAATTAGATAAATAACAATGCTAGCTGCTTTATCGTGACTCGTTTAACAGATATTTGATAAACTGGCAAGCTCAAGTGTAAATTTGCCTCGTGATGAAAGTGACGTTGACAGCGACATCAAAAGAGAGAGTGAGGATGTGTGTGATGAAGTAATTCTGAAGCTGTTCAATTCTGACACTGAAGAAGACTAGTGGTTTTATCATTCTACTTTTATTTAGACAGGTAAATCCCATTGAGCCTCGAGGACTCATTTACAAGAGAGACCTGATTTAGTGCACAGGAAGAAGATGAAGATAAGAGATCAATGACTTTTTCTGCTAGGCGACTGTACCAGTATTTCTTTCTTACCCAGTTGTGTTAGCGACACTGTTAAAAAAAAACTTTTACAGTACGTATTTGAGTGAGTTATACTAATATGTATTTAATTAAAAGTTTTTAAAAAATCTTTCTGTGTAAACATCTCATGTTACAATGTGGACACCCGCAGCTTATAGACATTTGCAGCTTATATATGTAAAAAAATATATATTTTTCTTTTTAAAGTTAGTGGGTGTAGCATATATTCATGTGCGTTCAATAGTCCAGAAATTACGGTAATCTGCAACTCTACAAACAAAACGGGACATCATGGTTGTGCGGCCTTTATTTTAGTTTTTGGAGTTTTGAGTTTATATTTCTGCCTGGTATTAGGTTTCATCGCATGTGTGAGTAGTTTTGTTTCTCAATTGTTTGGTAATTCTTGTAGAAAATATCACCATTTAGTTTCCTCAGCCGTCCTGTCTTCGAGCTCCACACACACCTGCCTCTCATCAGTAATCACCACACCTGTAGACACTTACTCATCACCACTACATGCATTTATCATCATTTTATGATTCATTTATCAGTAACATATCACTCTCTTGATCCCTGTTTCCAGTAGTTTAAGTCATGTTCGGTTACGTTACATCATTTCCTGCCAAAATATTTAAAACCTTAAGATTTTAGATTTGAAAACTGCCTCTTGCTCTCTTGTGTTTCAGTCCTTTCAGCTACAGTTCCATGATGCAGCACCTCCTATAGTTCAGAAACGGTTTCTGTGAGTCTTTAGTATGTGAGTATTACCTCTGAAAGACTTCTTTTAAACAAACATACTTGACTAAAATAAAAAAGTGAATACTTTAGCTGACACTAAATAAAGCAGCAAGATAAACACTTGGTTGATTCAGTTAGAAATGACTAAATGCGCATCATTAACTTTATGTCTGCTGCCGTGAAAGACAGGTGATCATCTAATTGCCTCATTGCCTTTGCAAACACAAAAATGGTTATAACTCAATCCTATCCACAGATATTGAGCAAAACGTGGTGTGGGAGTAGCCTCATCACTTACTCTGATGAAGATTTTCGCTTAAAACCTTGACATGCAAAGTGACTGGTGATATGCATTCCTTCAAGGATGTTTCTGGATAAAACTGAATTCCACTGATTATTTAATCTAACAATGGCTGCAGGATTTGAGTTCATCTCTGAGCTGAGTAATGTCATTCAGTACAGGGGATAGTACAGAGAAGCTCTGAAGTTACAAACCAACCCAAATTAGTTGTAGAAATAAATGTAAATGTAAAGATGTAAAGAAAACAGAGAATTACTGCCGCTGACCTAGAGTCATTTACGATGACATTTTGCACCTTATTTTAAGCAAAGTGAAAGTCCTCCTGGATAATGCATAAACAAGACAGGACTAAATTTGAACATTTCATATGAAATGCAGAGTGACTATGGAACAGGACAAAAAACGTAATTGACAATGACGTGGAGGGAGAGGAGCTGATGCACAACACTGATCACAGATCCAAGTGTAAAAATGCATTTTGCCTGTGAGCATAAACACATTTAACAGTAGAGACCAGAGGGACTGCTACAAGAAGGAACACGCTATTCTAGTTTAACTCAGTCTCCTAAAACACTTTGTCCCATCAGTGTTTTGACTGTCAGCATCATCTTCATCTGTTCTATTACTGTGGTCTCTTCTGAGTTATACCTAGTCTTTATGTACAAATATTTCTTCTATAAATACACATAAATAATTTAAGTAATAAATACGAGACTATTGAATCTATGTTCTAGCATTGATCATTGTCCTTGGCTCGGTAAAATTCAACTTTGGATGAGCTCACCTGTTCCATCTGGAATCGATCGCACGAACGTCGGCAGCATCTTCAGCGAAGCGGTGGCGTTGGTGTCTCTGCCCAGCCCTTCAGCCAGCTCCTTCTTGAACCGTTGCATGATGTCCAACAGCGTCTCATCGGAGAACCGCATGGAGTACAGGTACTTATCAATCTGAAAATACACATCAGAAAAGCTTTGAACATTTGTTTAAACTTGTCATCTGTCTGTAACAATAAGATCAATATTTATCCACAGCCAACAAAGTACACAGCAAGCAGAGAACATTGTTGCCTGAAAATATCTGTTTATTATAAAAATAATTTTTAACCCCCCTCCCCCCACAAAATATGGTTACCAGTGTTGTACTGTGTTCTTGCCAGGTCTGTTGCAATAAACAATAAATCAATTAATCGCATGATGAATGAAAATTATCAACCTCATTTTCATTTATCGGCTTTATCGTTTCTTCGTGTCTCTCTTTTTCTACTGAAGACAAAGGCTCAATCTGTTTTAACGATCCAAAATTGCGTTTTTGGATCGTTAAAAGCGGCTAAGCTGAGAAGCTAATATACGAGCTAAACTAACAGGTCGACCTCGGGATAAACCCTTCGTCTTGTCAAAGCTCCAAAATTCATGGTTGAAACCCGTGCCTTCGTGTAAAAAGTTGTTTTTCTCTGCACAACGAAGCTGAGAACTTGTTTACTGAATTTTTTTATTAAAAGGCTTGTGTGAAAAATGCTATGCTAAGGAGCTCAAACCTCACCGAGCGTCCACCATTTTGAGAAACGAGGAGAGACAGCCCATGTCATGTTAAGGGGCCTCCCTCCCATTTTTCTTAAAGAGACATGCTGCTCGCTCCCTCACTATCCATCCTTAAGTTCAAACAGTCTTATACTGGCATCTGGTGGTCAAAATAATGTACTACACACAAAAACAAATCAACATTTCTTCTTAAATTTGACAATAATTACTCATTATTGTCAAATTTCAAACAATATTATCGGTTATCGCAATAATTTCGGAGACAATTAATCGCTCAGCAAAATTTGTCATTGTAACAGGTCTAGTTCTTGCAAAACAAAATACAGTGATATGGAATAATCATCAGCCACATCAGCATGACACAAGGAGCTTCATGAAGTGTATGACAGGTAGGAGATGAGTCAAGGATCAGATAAGTCAATCTGAAACTTATTCTGAGCAGTAACAGCAGCCACTAAGCTGATAAAAGTGCTTTAAAGCAATTAGCACGGTGTCAGGAAGTCATAAAGCTGGCTGGATGAACAAGCCCACTTCTGTGACAAAGAAAGAGTCTGAGCCACCTGGACTTCAGGAAACACAATGATAAACAACTCTGGTGAAATTCATGGTTGCGTTAGTGTTTGATGACGCACAGAGCAGACCTGATTTATGATCCAAGTGTGACAAATACAAAATCAGAACCTCAGTAGTTCTGTGTAAATGTCTCATGATCACAAAATGAAATTTGTCCCCACACATTATATGTATGTGCAAGGATTTTTATTTGACAACATGTTAATATTACTCAATGGAAAATGCATTGGATGGGAATGTTGTGTCTTCCTGTCTCAAATGTTACACATTAACTGCATTTCCTGTACAGCTCTGGTCTGGACAACGCCTGGCACGCAGGGAGGGTCTTTACAGGAAGTAATAACCATCTGCCAGGCACGGCAAAGGATTAAATGGGTCAAAACAAACACAAAAGTGTTAAGAAACTACTTGTAATAATAACAAATGAAAATACTGTAATAAAATATGACATTTTAAGATTTGGTTTGGTCTAGATCTGGGGTCTGCAACCTGCGGCTCTGGGGCCACATGTGGTTCTTTAGTCCCTCATTGGCGGCTCTTTGAAGCTTTGAACAAAACTTAATGAAATTTAATTATATTGATTTTTATTTCAACAAAAGAAAATGTTAGTTTGGGCAGTTTTATTGTCAATTTTTTTTTTTTTTTTTTTTTGCCCAATAACTACTAGTAAGATAAGATAAGAACTTTATTGATCCTGCAGTAAATTATTAAAGTAGTAATTAAGTTTCTTTCGGCTGCTCCCTGCTTCAGGGGTCACCACTTGCATGAAAGATTTGACAATTTGTTTTACGCTGGATGCCCTTCCTGACGCAACCTGGGCTCAAACCCGCAACCTCAGGATTACAATTGTGTGGCACTGGCCACCGAGCTACCGCTGCCCTGCCTAATATTTATTGTTCCTCACATAGACCTGCAGTGTTCAGCGTTTTAATTTTTATCAAAATTGGTGTAATCTATAATTATTTTCCTTCTTTACACGATATGGTCTTTTTTTTGTCTTAAAATGTAAAAAAAATATCAATAAATGTTAAAATTCATCATATAATTTTAGTTTTATAATGTTGCCCCAACTGGCCAGAAGAGTCTGCCTCCAACCAACTCCGTGGCCCATGGGCCATCAGTTGATAATCACAGTTGTAGCAGGTTTTGTGGCTCCAGATACGTTTTATAAAACCTTGTTCGGTGCTTTTGTTAAATTCCTTATAATAAATCTGAATCTGGAGTCTGTCTCTGGGATGGACGCTCATATTAAGCACATGTTTCTGTCAGAGAAGTGCTCACAGCTGAGTTACTGAAACATGTGATCCTCAAAAAGTGACTGAAATACATTCACAGGATCAGGCCTGTCAAGCCTACTCTGTGCTTTTTTTAACAGCTTTGACAAATTAGTGGTTAGTAATATTCTCCCATCAAAATTTAAGAGAGTGGCCTGTGCATTTGTTAATTTACAACGTAAAAACAAATAAAGGCACAGCAGCATCTTCACTCTGTAGCATTCCATGCATATATGCAAGTCACAGAATATTTGCAAACTTAATGCTTAATACTAGAAAGTCTTTCTAAAAAGAAGAAATTAGTAACTTGATTTGTAGACCTGCATTAGTCAAAGGCAGAATCTTCAAATTGCTTTGGTCTTGCGGTGGCCTGTGTGATATGTAGAAATGTTAAATATGTTCAACGACGAATGTTGATTCATGCTGCTGCTTATTGTTGCTGCTGTTGAACAGCAAAAAGTAATGAAATGTACTAATATACGTGACCCAGATCAAATGTCGTGAGGTCATAAAAACAGGCTCTGTCAGGGAAATTTCTGTACATCAGGCTACATTAACTCCTGTTCCGTTTTTAAAGTTTAAGAAAGAAAACTCAAACATTCCTAAATCTCACATCATGAGTGGACAGCATAAACATGCAGTGCAAAGGTTTTCAGTCTATTTAGTTAGACATTTTTATTTGTGACACAATTTTAAACCTCCTGCTGCCCTGGGGTCAAAATGACCCACGAGCCCTGAGTTTAAAAACTGAGGGCACATGGGTCATTTTGACCCCAGGGCAGCAGGAGGGTTATATTTAGACTTTCAAAACCAAAGAGCAGATGAGTTTCCTATATAATCTTGTAATAAGATGTGAAGCTGGAAATTTGCAAACACATTTCATTAAAAGTGTAAAACCTCTGATATTGAAGAGTAACAACGCTAATAAAATATTATTCTGCTGTCACCAGATGACTCGGTGTTCAACTGTTACACAGTTTTGTCACAAATTGCATATAACAATGTCAAAAAGACACTCTCTTCTACACAACTGTATAAAGAAAGGATTAAAAATAGTAGTTATTTAGTTTAAAAAGTCTGCCTGCAGTAATCCACCTGAATCAAAATTGACCTGTAATGCAAAAAAAAAAAAAAAAAAAAAAAAAATCTCACTATGACATGAAATAACATCAGCGAAGACAAGCTATAGATAGACACGGTTTTAAGATTCTGTTTTAAACCAGAGTTTCTCTGTGTTAGCTATAAAACCATACTGAAGAACACTAATCTGAACAGAATACGTTGTACAATACAGGGAGCGCTTGTGATTCAAGTGGTCCGATCTGTGAAGGACTAACACAAATTTACACTATACCATTTTTACCATTACCATATTTTTCGGACTATAAGGCGCATTAAGCGAAACTAAAACATTTTGACAGATTTTTGAGCGCCATGCGCCACATAAAATTGGTTCGAGGTCCGTAAGCACAACGAGAATGAACACATAAGGCACACTGTTGATTTGAGAAAATTAAAAGATTTTAAGTGCGCTTCATAGACCGAAAAATACGATATATTTTACAATCAGATGAATTTTCTTCTTAAACAGTTAGGTTTGTACAACACATGTCCCGCTCCAGTTAAGCCTGGTTATCATAATAGCTGTCTATTTGCTGCACTAAAGTTTTTATTGACCCACTGCCCCTCCACTCACTTCAGGGCAGGCCACATTTTTTGCAGACTGTTTCTGATTATAGATGTTTGACCTTTGACTCAAACAGCTGCGAGAGTTATTTAAAGACCGCGATTCACTTCATGGATGGATCGTTTGGCATTGGTCAAGCCTTTGGTTGAACTTCCTGAGTAGATCAGATAAATTAGCAGGCACTTGAAA